AGATGGCACTTAAAAATGGAAAATGATTGCAGTATAAGATTAATTATAAGGAGCAGAATGTGAATTAGAAATAATTGGGAAAACAATGCAGCAACAATATGAAATTATGGGCATGCCGAAAACAGAGGGTGGGAAGTCACATTTATTTATTTATTGGAAAAATTGTATTAAATTTGTTTTTATTAGCGGCGGATTTAATAAAATTGGGGAGGGAGGATTTGGCAAAAAAGTCTTTCATTTACTGTAGCAACTTCATTGTGAGTACTGGCACCTTTATTTTTTTCCAGAAGAAAAGCACTGAAGGTATCTAACAACCAGCTTAATACTCTGGTGGGCTACAGAAACAACAAGCGCTCCCAGAAACATGTCCCCAGCATTTCCACTCCTTCAAAGAAAACTAGTGAAATGCTTGCACATGCACACACACCTAACCCCCAGCTCACAAACAAACAAATCAGAAAAGCAGCTACAAATTCAGAAGGCTCCAACACAAGTTTCTGAAATATTGCCAAGGATCCTGACTTGGCTCCTGCTTGGGTAGTTATCCTGCGACCCTCCGGAGGCTGTTTTGGACTACGACTCCAGCCTTTCTTAGATAGTGTTCCCTTGGAAGAGGGGTGAAGCCACTTTGAGAAGTGTATCTCTGTGAGAGGGATTAGACAAATTAGGTAAAGGTAAAGGGACCCCTGACCATTAGATCCAGTTGTGACTGACTCTGGGGTTGCGGCGCTCATCTCGCTTTACTGGCCAAGGGAACTGGCGTACAGCTTCCGGGTCATGTGGCCAGCATGACTAAGCCACTTCTGGCGAACCAGAGCAGCACATGGAAACGCTGTTTACCTTCCCGCCAGAGCGGTACCTATTTATCTACTTGCACTTGAACGTGCTTTTGAACTGCTAGGTTGGCAGGAGCAGGGACCGAGCAACGGGAGCTCACCCCGTCATGGGGATTCGAACCGCCAGCCTTCTGATCGGCAAGTCCTAGGCTCTGTGGTTTAACCCACAGCACCACAAATTAGACAAATTAGTGGATGATAACTAATGGACCTTCTGCATGAAGTGCTATTTCACTGAGCCATGGCCATTATCCCCCTTTATGGAGAATCAGGTTACCAGTGGCTACTTGCCACGCTTTCCCTCAGGGCTATACTGCCTCTGACATTGGAAGGAAAGCATGGCAAGTAGCCACTGATAGCCTGATTCTCCATGAAGGGGGATAATGGCCATGGCTCAGTGAAATGGAACTCCATGCAGAAGGATTTACAAGTGGGCTGTTGGCCTCAGGTGCCGCTTGCAGTCTCCCCATGAGCATCTGCTTGGCCACTGAGATAACAAGATTCTGGACAAAATGGTCTGATCCATCAGCCAGGCTCTTCTGGTGTTCTTATCCTAAGGATGCTCATTCCAACCCTGCTTGGCAAGGCTGGGCTGGGGAACACACCTTCGTGGTGACTCTGTAGCTTGCAGAGGATGTCCTGGATTGCTTGCCAGGAAGCAATCGAGTAATTTCAAGGAGACTCCGCAAGTGTGTGAGTTCCTGTGTCTCTGTTCAGTCGTGGCATTAGATAAGCAAACATACAGTAATGAAAGCCAGGCTGGGAGGAGGCCGAGCTGTGGAGGGAAGTGGTTGTTTTAACAGGCGGAGAAAGCAGAGAGTTGGAGGGGAAGGAGGGGAAGCAGTGAAAGGCACACTGGAAGCTGGCAGCCTATTGCAGTCCAGGGTAGATCATAAGAAGAGCCCTCCTGGGACCAGGAGTTGTTGGAGCTGTGGTTCAACAGCACTTGGAAGACCACGAGCTCCATACTCCTGAGTTAGAATGGCGCACAGCTGTCAGAAAAGGAACTTGAGAGGACCCTAGTGTAGCTCATGGCTCCATGGCTCAGTTCCTGGTCTCTCCAGTTCACAAGATCTCAACTCAACTCTTAACAGACCACAGAGCACATTTTGGCCAGAGATCTTGGAAAGTTGGGCATGACATCTAACATGCCTCACCTTTGGGACGCTCATCTCTCTTGTCTTGGCCACATTCTCCCCCAATTTGGCTGTTTGGTAGGCCAGGTTCTAATTCACTACATTGTTAGGCAAAAAAAAACAACAACTCAATTTTGGCACAGATGAAGAGTCATGCAGGATCAGTCCAGTGGCCCATCTAGTCCAGCATCTGGTTCTCACAGGGACCAAGCAGATGCTCAAGAGGAGCCAGCAAACAGCAGCTGAGTGAAACAGCAACTCTCCCCACCTGTGATTCCCAGAAACCAGTATCCAGAGGCATTGTTAGGTTGTGGGCGAACATATCAGACGACACAGCAATTCTTCCAAAGCAGCTCTTTATTTGTAAGCTGAAACAGAACTAACTGAGGAGCTCAGTCAGCCTGCTTATATAGAGCTCCAGAACAATTGCAACTGTTGCAACTTTCTAAAACTATCCAATCACAGAACGTCACTTTTCGATCCTTCATTTGCATACAAACTATCCAATCAGTGATCGTCACTTTTGATCCTTCATTTGCATAACTATCTACAGTATCCCCCTGCTGGCCCAGGGTGAGAACATCAGTACATAACAGGCATCCTGCCTCTAAAGACACAGCCACACTTCCGCTTGCCCTGCTGCATCTCCCTGGCCTGGGAAAACCTGCTGCTTACTGCTGAATTGGAGCAGACATCAATTGGGTTTTCTCTGGATTGGTGTTTGCTCTGATTTAACGCTAAAGAGTTGGTGTGGCAAAAGCACTCAGTTCCTCATTTTTCCCAGCCTTCACATTTTAACATCAATTAGCAAATCCTTCTTATTTTAAAAAAGGTCATTTTAGTGCTAAGTTCTCCTAATATACATATGCCATTCCCAAGAATGTATGGATTTTAGCCAGCGAATGCATTTTTGCATGGGTTACTTGCCTGGACAACGTCATTGCAAAATTGGGAGAGGCCTGAATTTTGAAGGACAACTACAATTCAGTTCACTTATTGCTTCCGAAAGAGTGATTTGGGTAGATGCTCCATTAAGTGTGAACTGAATTGAATTTCTTCCCTCATCCCTCATCACAAATGAAGAAAGCATCCTTGGGAATCTCATAAAGAAGAGGTGGGTTTTTCAATATTGAGGGGTAGGGGAATCTCATCTTCCAAGGACTGCCCAGGAGATATTTAGATAAGGTAATGGCAGCAGGTGGAGTTATACCATAGATCAATGGAGATAGATAGACAGATGAGAGAGAGAGAGAGAGAGAGAGAGAGAGAGAGAGAGAGAGAGACTGTGTTGCCCATTCTGCTCCCTTCCCCACCTCCACCAGGAATAGTTTTTTGGCTAAAAGTCTGGAAAGGATTGCTGACAGGAATTATTTTGATGAGATCTGTTTTCCTTTAGCAGATCAAGATGAAACAAAACGTATAAAAAGGCTTTTGAAAATGCTACATCAGCAAACACACACACACACACACACACACACATACACAAACCCAGGCATAAATTTCCACAGCCCGGGGGTTGTATCTCCTTCTGGAGATCTTTTCATTTTGGAGATCTTTGTGCTGTTTATGTATGTTCAGGGAGCGAGGGACTTAAAAGAAGGATGTGCTCTGCTTTCGTGACGGTGGTGATGATGACCGGTGGTTTTAAGCAGAGAAACTTCAATGAGAATAATTTAAATTCCACCCAACAGGTTCTGGAAGTGCTAAGCCTGGCATGTCAGAGGAGGTGGGTTCGACACACCTGGATTTTCAGAAAAGATGCTGGAGGTGAGGGAGGCGGCGGCAGCTTTGATGTGGACTTTTCTTCCTTCCTTTCTTCCTGGACCACTGCAGGATCTGACATGTTGCCCCTCACCTTTCGGCCTGGCCACCTCTCCCTCCTGATTCAGCTTTGTGAAATCCTCTGCGTCCACAGCCCTGCTGCTCTGCAGGTGAGCTTAGGGATGGAGACATGGCATGCCATCCATCAAGCTGAATGAATGAGCAGCTCACCTGTCAGGCTGCATTCAGTCACCGTCCATCTGAAGTGAGGCAAGAGGGCAGAAGTGACAAACTGATGACCCGCAGAAGAGAGAGGACTCCATCCCACATGAAACACTGCCAGCCTTACGTGTACATGTGAAGATCTCAAGGTCCAGCACTCCTACTCCCATGGTCTAGAGGGAAACATCACAGCAACCTTGCCAAAGCCAGGGGCAGAGACTGGATGGGACACAAATATAGGCCACTTGAGGATGCATGATGGAAGAAAGACTGGATATTAAAAGGTAACTGCACATTTCTCTGAGAAGCAGCAGGGTGAATGGAGTGTTTAGTGATCCAGGGCTCAGGATGGAGGATCTGGTTCACAATTTAAGGTGAACCAACCCAGCTCAGACTTCCCGAAGCAATGCGAGAACAAGAATCTTAATAGCTCAAAACTGGAAGACCGGAGAAGTACCATTGAAAGCACAATGGCAAGAAAAGTGGATGAACCATGCAGAGTTAGCAAAGTTAATGGACAAACTGCATGAAAAGGACAATAGCAACTCTGAAAAAAGAATGGGAACCCTTTGCAATATATTTGCAGAAACAACAGAAAGAAGTGGTCTTGCTGGCAGGATTTCAATAAACATTTGCAATTTTATTTACAGAGAACAAGAAGTACAACAACGTGATAACATAATATTGTATATAAACAGCAGAATGTATCATCTGACGTAATAAACCAGAAATGGTAGTTGAGGGAAGTCAACAGGGAGGGAGGAAATTGGAAAGTGTATGTTTAGCAATGATATTGGATATTTGTTTTGAGAAAAGAAAATTAATAAAAATTGTTTAAAAGAAAAAGAAAAGAAACAATGCAATAACAGAAATGCAGCTATTCTTTGAAATCCACGGTCCTCTGATTTTTGCAGTGGATTTCTCCTGCCAGATAAGATGCACCAAATTGCATATAATTAGAGGGAAGTGTGCACCCCAAAACATGCACCTAGCAGACAAAATATTCTGACCTACTCCAGTGTTTTGGGCATTCCCAGCCCTACCTGGAGTAACTCAGTGGTAGAGCATCTGCTTTGCATGCAGAAGGTCCCGGGTTCAATCCTTGGCGTCTCCATTGGGGGCTGGGGATTTTCCTTGCCTGAATTGCTGAGTTGGATGGACCAATGGATTTGCAGACTTGTGGGGTTGGAAGGGACTCCAAGGGCCATCTAGTCCAACCCCCTGCAATGCAGGAATCTCAGCTACAGCATCCATGACAGATGGCCCAACAACCTCTGCTTAAAAACCTCCAAAGAAGGAGAGTCCACAACCTCCAGTGGAAGGTTGTTCAGTTCCCAACATCTTCATGCAGGACTGTGAATGTTGGAATGGTCTGACTCGGTGTCAGGCAGATTCCTCGTTTCCATACGTTCTTAACAGCAGCTGAGAAGCAGCAGCTGCCGGTCACTGCTAAGTTGAGATCTGTCACCAAACACCATTCTGCCACCCCCTTCCCTTTCTCTCTCTCTCGGTGTGTATGTGTGCATGTCTCTGTGTAAGTTTCCTCTGGGCAATTGAATGCAGGGAGCAGGGGGAGGCAGGAGGAATTCCTTAAGACAGTTCCCTCTGGCTGAAAAGATTTGCTGTGTGCACTCACTCAGAACTGGATCCAAGCTCCAGGCAAGTTTGCACCGTTCACAAGGGGGGGAGGTGAATGCAGGTGCCTAAAGATGTCAGCGCAGTAATTATTGATGGCCTCTGCGTGAAGAGGTGATTCTGTTCGCTCCTTGAAGTTGCTAAGGTGGCTCTGCAGGAGGGAATGGGAGAAATGGCCCGTGAAATCCTGTAGGATGGAGATACGGTACAAACTGAATATATAGGATATTGCCTTAGACCAGGTTGGAATACTCCAGCCCAGGAATGGGGAACCCCTTTCAGCCTGAGGGCCGGATTCCCTTCTGGGAAACCTCTCAAGAGCCACATTCCAATGATGGGCAGGATCAGAGGCAAAGGTGGGCGGGGCAATGAAAACAAATGTCACCTTTCCAGCCAAGCAAGAGTCTATCAGGGTTCAAGGACACATTCCAGCTAGGCAAAAATGCTCAGGGGTCATTGCAGAGCAGGGCAGGTGAGGGGTATGGTCTGGGAAGAGTTCATTTTAAAAAGCGGGCTGGGGGGAGGGAAGTGGTAGGGAATTTTTAGTCTAAACTAAGCCAATTATAATTTTGGGAACTGAGTTTCTTCATATAGTCCTTATAAATTATATGAAGAAACTTAGTTCCCAAAATTATAAATGGCTTAATTTAGACTATAAATTCCACAGGTAAACAAATTGTCTCTCCATTAAGTGCAAAGTGATTACAGACAGCTAAAGATATGAGAGCATATAAACTGTATAGTGGTCGAAGGAAGTCAACTTTTTCTGTTTTTCTTTAGACTTTTAATTTTTTTCTAATTCTCCCCCCCCCTTTCTTTTCCGATATGTATTTTTTTGTATTTTTTTGTATTATTACTTTTTTTTTGGTATTCAGTAATTTGTATTATCTGTATAACTGTATTTTTTCATGTATGTAATATGTATATTATTAATAATGATGATGATGATGAAATGAAATGGAAAATGTGGGTTCAGAGAATGATTAACAAGAAGTAACTCCCCACAATCGAATTAGGATGGATGCTGATTGAAGACTGGACTTAGTATCTAACTGAATGAAGATTTAGTTGCACCTAAGTTTTACTCAGAGGTAGGGATGAAATCCAATCCAGGACTCAGTTAAAGCCAAATCTATCATATTTGCACTTTTCAAAACAATATGTAAACCGAAACACAGCTATAATGCAAAATTTGCACAGCAAAAATCCACTTTCTGCTATGCAGTTAGCCAACCAAACAATTATTAAAGGCATAAATTCAGGAGAAATGTGCATAAAATTGAGTGTGTTGGTAAAAATAATAATGCCCAAAAATGCATCAGACATCAAAAGTGCATACAAAAATGTGTTTAATAGGAGAAATTCACACAAAAACGCTAACGGATTTTCATTGGGGAGTTTTTTATGCTGCAAAATGTGGATAATTGAACTTAACTGATTTTATATCTATTGTTTTTTGTATTTTTACTGTTGCTACAATAACTGCTTTTGTTTTTGATGTTTTTGATCTGTTTTATATTTGTTTTACGGTTCTCTTTTGTAGGCTACCTTGGAAATCTCGACTGATAAAATTATGTTTATTTATTTTATTTTTTTAAAACAGATAACTGAATTTAATATGGGGGGGAAGAGAAATAGTGAGAGGGCCAAAATGGACAGATTCTTCCATTACCACACAAGTTCATTTATTTCACTGGATCTATTCTGAGTAAACCTTTGTTGAATACAATCCTATGCCCGGTCTTTAATGAGCATTCATTCTAATTTGCTTACTCAAACCTTTCTTGGTTATTTGACCACTGGTCATAGAATCATTGAATTTTAGAGGTGAAAGCTGCATCAAGGATCATCTAGTTAAACCCCCACAATGCAGAAATCAGAGCCAAAAACCCCCTGATAGATGGCCATCCAGCTTCCCTTTAGACACCTCCAGTGATGGAGAGTTTATCACCTTCCGAAGAAGCCCATTCCACTGCCCAACAGCCCTTGCCATCAGAAAGCTCTTCCCAGTATTAGGTGTGAATCTCCTTGTAATTTGAATCCATTCATCTGGTTTCAACCCTCTGAACCTGCCGAAAACAAGCTTGAGCATTCATCCTGATTTGCTTGCACAACGTTTATGCGGTGCTTAGACCACGGGGGTTGTAGCCAATTTTAGCCTAACTCAGGGTAGACCCACTGAAACTGAATGACCATAACAAACTTAGGTTCATTCATTTCACAGCTCAATTTGCTAAGAGCAAACTGTGTTTATGGAAGACAATCTTACTCGGCTACGAGTGATCGCCAAATGGGTGCTGATAATGCCAAGGTTGCAGGTTTGATTCCCCAAATAGGTCGGCTGCCTATTTCTGTACTGACCACTGGTCTTGCTAGCTAGGGATGATGGGAGTTGTAATCTAAAAGCAGCTGGAGACCCAAGTTTAGGAAATACTGGACTAGATGATCCTCAGGGTCATCCTTCCATCTCAACAGTTCTATAATCCTATGGTTCTATGATTTCAGTGGGTCTATCAAACTAGACATAGTCATTAATTTCAGTGGGGCTTCCTTGAGTAGGACAGGTACTGGCTACAACCCCATGGTCTAACCACCGCATACCGTATTTTCCTGTGTATAACATGCCCCCATGTATAAGACACCTCTTATTTTTGAGGACTCCAAATTGAGAAAATGGGGGGATATTGTATCCATGTATAAGAGGACCCACAATTCTGAACATAATTTTTAAATAAAAAAAATCTAGTCTTTTTTTGAAAAAATCATTTTTATTGATTTTCCAATAAAAAACATCCAATTAAATATCCAATCATAATACTTCAATTAAAAAATAAAAAAACTAAAATAAAAAAGATCAAATTATAGTCCAAATTGTATTTATTAATTTTTGGGGGCTCCCCACGGTCTGGATTTCTTATACATTCTAGTTTTATACATGGAAAAGTATGGTAAGCAAATCAGGCTTAAGAACAGATAATCTGAAGGAGCATCCTCTCTCTCTCTGAAACACATCTTGTCTTTAGCAAGATGCGCATAGAAATGCACAAGAATGAACACCCCCGGAGCTGGTGCATTTCATTCTGAACTGTGAGAAACATATGCTGAGGCATATTATGTTTGTTTGTTTGGAATCAGACATGTTGTGCCTGTCTGCCTGTCTGTCTGCTTGTAGTATGTCTTTAACCCAGAGAAACAATTAGACTCTCTTGGCTTTCGATTTGCCAGAGGAGAGGAGATTGCGGAGCAAGTGGATAAAAGCAAGCAGAGCGGAGCCTTTAGCAGTGCGTAAGGATGCCATGGGGGAGCCTTGGGCACTCTTCCCTGACTGTGCAAGAAGGGGGCTACCCCTGCAAAGTCTTGGAGGGCGTGTGGCAGCGAAAGAGGTGAAACTCTGCCTTTGCAATGGACAAATGTCAACTACTGTCGTCAGACGCTTAGCAGTTTGTTCACACTGTCAAGGAATTATGCTTCTTTCAGTGGCCAAGCCAACCTCCCCACTCCCACTGCAAAGATTGGTTTTGTGAACTAAAGCTGATTGAGCATGCTTAGACAACATAGACCCATAAATGGGTTGTCAGAGAGCTCACACTACAATACTAATACTAATATTTTTATGCTGCCTATCTGACCGGGTTGCCCCAGCCATTCTGGGGGGCTTCCAACAAATTAAAAACATAAAGCACAGTAAAACACCAAACATGTAAAACTTCCCTATACAGGAATGCCCTCAAATGTCTTCTAAAAGTTATATTAAATTTATTTCCTTGACATCTGATGGGAGGGCTTTGCACAGGGCAGGTGCCACTACAGAGAAGGCCCTCTGCCTGGTTCCTTGTAACTTCGCTTCTTGAAGTGAGGGAACCAGCAGGAGACCATCAGAGGAGGACCTCAGTGTTCAGGCTGAGCGATAGGGATGGAGACACTTCTTCAGGTATACTGGGCTGAGACTGTTTAGGGCTTGAAAGGTCAGCACCAACACTTTGAATTGTGCTCGGAAAAACACCCTGTTTGGTGCATAAGGTCCCAGCTTCAGTCCCCTGCATTTCCAGGCAAATCTGGGACAAACTCCCTGCCAGAAATCTTGGAGAGCCCCTGCCAGTCAGTGCACACAGTATTGAGCTAGATGGCACTGGTGGAGGAAGGGCAGTGCAGTGGGTGTGGTCCGCCCTGGGTGTCATCGCCACCCTGCCACCCTGGGATGCTCGCCACGGGTGGCGCCCCCCTGGGGTGCTCTCCCCACCCCTGGGTGCACAACATGTGCACCGCTCCAGGTGCTGGAGCAGCTAGCTCCGCCTCTGCTAGATGGACCAATGGCCTGACTCAGTACAAGGCAGCTTCCTGCTGATAGAGCATTCTATGCCAGCGCTGCAGACAGGAACACACAGCACTCCTCGCAGGCAAGAACAATCAAATAGTAACCCTGAATGTACAAACTACGGTATATGTTGTGTGCGAAGCAAAGTAGCAGCTGAAGTTTCC